TTTCACCTTTACAACACCCATCATTTTATTTACAGATACATCTAGTAACACTGCCTCACTCCAATCTCTTCTCTCAGTACAAACACAATGTTACAGCTTTTCTCAACAAAACCAACCAAGTTAAAACAAAATCATGACAGATCCTTAGCCATACTCCGGTCAGAGAAATCTGTAGTCTTTTTCTGTATTGGGGCTAACACCTGTTAGCTCCACATTGAAAATGCCAGTATTATCCAGAAAAAATCCATTGTTGGCAGCATTAGCTAATCCACAGCAGTGGAGAAGTAGTAAGTTTAGAAAACTGTAAGACACGGCCCATACCAAGAATATTTACAAAGCAGTACTTACTATCACATTAGAATAGCACTGTTTTATGCAACGACATGCTTTTAGCCTTTCGGCATTTTTTAAACTCCATTTAGGTTTTCCAGGAGGCTCGACATTCAGGATAGCAATAAACTCCTATCAAGTATTGTCCATCTGGTCGCCAACAATTTAAGTTAAACTCAAAATCCACACCTTTACCTCTGCCTGGGTTCGACAGCTTCTCTATAGCTCCCTAATTCCAACTCCTTTTACATCCTCCTAACCAAAAGGAAGCACACATGTACTCTGCATACTGCCGAGCACGGCCACTCCAGAGTGAAGTCACTAAATCTATCTGCCCATCCATGAAACCATTTGTTTTCCCAAAAACCCATACCACCTTCTGGGAACAGCCAAACCCAGGTTTTGAGCAACCACAGCTACCCACTGTACCTCTGCAGCCATCCCAGCACTACTGGAGACTAAAACAGTCAAGAGCAAATCAGCATCCAACACTTACATTAGAGAGTAACGAAAAAGATGTTTTGTGTAATCTTCAACTATTCAGAACAGCAGTACATCACAATTTTGCGGTGTTAAGAGTCTTCCCACTCACGCATGCAAGTCCTTACCGACTTCCTTACGCACATTAAGAGTGCTTTAAATAAAATGATTCTGGTATAAGAAAGAAAAAGCCGATTTCACAAACTATCAGAGCACCCTAAGCCTAGAGCTGACTCCTGGAAGAGAGTGCTGCCTGCCACACAACAGGATCCTGCTGTGAGATGTAGCGTTACCCTGCATCCCACATTGCAACCCCTCCAACCCCTCTCTCCCCAGGGGCCTGCTCCCCAATGCCCATGCCATGTACCCTCCCCAGCTGCACCTCCAACTCTTTCTCAAGCACCTCGCCGTTGCAGTGCCAAGGCTGCTTTTTGTTTTCCAGCAGAACCCAGCTTTGGATAGCAGGACAAAACGCAGAGCAATCTCCTGTTCGCTTCCTCAAAATCCAACCTTTGTGCTCCAGCACGACTGTATGTGGCTTCCAAGAACATCCACCCCCCACCTCCCAACACCCCAAACTTCACGATTTGGTCTGCCTTACACTACACCACCCACTAGGATGCCTTAAAAAAATCCTACCTATTCTTTTTCACACTTGTGAGAGAAATTGTATCCTGACACCCAGTGCAAGTGCACTCCTTGAACTCTGCACACCCACCTCAGCTACATTCTTCTCTATTTCTATAGGCTGTTTTCAGTCATCTCACTTTGCCCCTAAGCAAGTCTCACTGAAGGCCAGGTACAAAGTGCACACAGTTTTCAGTGGTTGTTCAATCTTGTTTGCAATTCATAAAACCCCTCTTCTTTGACTGTCCCCCTTATTTATGGCACTGCTGTTTCAAAATCAGTACACTGAGGATTGTTAAAAGCCAAATTCCATTTCAGAAGAAATCTGAAGCATCATTTTCTAAAATGCAAACAAGTTATTGAAAGATTTCACCCTCCCACAGGGTTTGGAACTTCGTTTTCCTTTCACAGCCACCCTTCCTTACCTACCGACCCTCAGCAGCTCAACTTCAGCCAAAACAGAACTCAGGCTTTATGTGGTCACTGATGCCATGGACACATCAGGGTCCCTTTAACCCAGGACAGTAGTTGGGGGGCAACCAGACGTGGACAACAGGCTCATGTTGTGTTAATCAAACGTGCTCTGAACTGTCCCATGAAAACACACTCGAAGCCCCTGACTGCATGAACACCAGCAGCCGCCCAGAAGTGAAGATGAGCTGGAGCAGGATTAAAGTCGGGTTTTTTTTACACAGCGGTTCTCTCCCACTTGCTGGACACCATCCCCAGCTGAACAGGAGCTATCCCCTCACTCCTGAGGAAAAGGGCTCTAACTACAGTTTTACAGTAATGTTACATAAACCCCCAACCGCATCCAAAGACGCTCGATTAGTTCATTAACCCAACTTTAAATAACTCTCCCGGTACCAAGCTAGTGCTTACATCCCCAGACGCCCACCGCAGCTAAGACCCTGGAGACAGGCCCGCCGTTACCCCCCGATTCCATCGTACACACCACGCCGCTTCACCTGTGCTTCCCCTTCACCGTATCCCCAGCGTTACCGGCTCCCATACCGCCATCAACCCAGCCCACACCGGGCTCCCCGGCCCTCACCGTAATCACCCCAGCACCCCTGCCAGACCCCGTAACGGGAAACCGAAACAGCCGAAAGCACCCCAAACACGGGGGGGGGAGGGGGGGAGCAGCTCCCCACGCACCGGCGGGGACCCCCGCAAGAGGAGCAGGCGGAGCGAGGCCCAGCCGCCCCCCGCTAAACCACCCACCCCCTCCGGGCCTCTCCGAGCGGGCCGTCCCCTTCCCCTCTCCTCCCGTCCAGCCAAACACACGGGGCCCAGGGCCCCAGGTCGGCCCGGTTCCCGGAACGGCGCTACGGAACAAAGGCCGCGAGGCGCCCCGGCGGTCGTTGCACCGCCCCGGCGGGCAGGAAAGGTGAGCCCTCCTTCCCCCCACCCTCGGTGCTCACCGCCGGCGCCCAGGGGAGGGGAAGGCAGGGAGCCCGGGCCGGGCCTCCCCCCCCCGCGCCGCTCCCGTCGCGGTGCCGCCCCCGCCGCCGCCTCACGGGGGGAGGGAAGCTGCGTCACAGCCCGCTCCGCGCGCCTCCCAGCAGCCCCCGCGCTACAGCCGCCGCCCGCCCCATTGGCTA